AAGGTTGGACCTTGACCTTGTGAATCTGTTTTAGAGCTTGGGTTGCCATCCTTGAGGCTCAAAACACATTCTTAGCAATAAAGTTTCAATCTTTGGAGCTTTCATGAAGCCATGCATGAGATCTAGCCACTTCCTTGGAAATAGATTATTGTTTTTAGATTTTTGAGCTTGTGTGAGTCATGTAAGCCATCAAGTAAGCAATTTTATGGTTTAAGGCATGGAATAACACTTGGATATAAGTTTGTAGCTTCTTACTCGGAATATTAAGCACTTAATAGATAAAGGACTTAACATGGTATTACGTTGAGCGTACGTGTAGGTACGCCCAACGTACTCTCCATCAAGCAGTTACGCTAAGCGTACTTTGGTGTACGCTCCGCGTAACACAGTCAGTTGGGCTTTGAGTATTTGGGCCTCGATGTGGGCTATATTTTAGACTTTGAGCCTTAGTGGGCCAGTAGGAGTCAAATTATGGGCCAAGGGCAGTTTTGGACTTAAGTAGGCCCAATATAGAATAATTGGGCTATTAGTGGGCCTTTTATGGGCCAGTGGTGAACCTAGAAGGAATTAAAAGGGTTTGGGCCATGATTATGACCCACACCATAATAGGGGTAAAATAGTCATTTTACCCATAAAAAGATCCTCATATTGATTAAGTGTTTGATTTGTCATGATAGCTGGAGAGCAACCGGGACAGCAGTTAGGGATCTTTCACGCGGGTTTTCAGCAGTCAGTTCTTTGAGGTGAGTTTCTTTCAAGTAGGAATGGGTCTACGGCCACATTGTCGGCCCGTTTAGTTAGCAGTAGTTCCAGACCTCGGTCTGATGCAGTAGTTAGAGTGCTTGATGTCTTTGTGATTCAAGCATGTTTTGTGTTATGTGTTCCAGACTCTGGTCCGATGCAGTATGTAGTATATGTGTTCAGCTAGTTGATATGTTTATGGTATGCTAGGTTTAATCAGTTTTTGGACTTCGGAAAGATGCAGGGGATAAGGTCCAAGTCAGTTCCGGACTTCGGTCCGATGCAGTTTACGGACTTCGATCTGATGCAAAGGGCAAGGCCCTGGTTAGTTCCGAACTTCGGTCCGATGTAGTTTCCGGACTTCGGTCCGATGCAGAGGGCAAGGCCCTGGTTAGTTCCAGACTTCGGTCCGATGCATTTTCTGGACTTCCGTCCGATGCAGTGGGCAATGCCCAATAGTTGTTTATATGTTATTGTATGGTATGTGGTAGTTTGTGGGAGCTCACTAAGCTTTGTGCTTACAGTTTTAGTTTTGGTTTCAGGTACTTCCGCTAGCAAGGGGAAGAGCTCGGGTTGATGGCATGGCACACACCACAGTTGCAGTTTATTCCTGGGAGTTTTATTTAGATATTTTGATATAATATTAACTTCATTTTTAAATTAATACATTTACTATGGCATTATGAGACATACGATTCATGGTTTTATTATATAATAATTGATGTTGTGGTTTTTATTAATAATAAAACAAAAAAAATTGGGTCGTATTTTGGGTCGTTATAGTAGTAGTTCTTTATATCTGTATAAAAGTATATTTTCTTCCATTTATATCTATCATTTGTTTGGAAAATGGAATGTTTTATCTCAGCAGAGACACTACTGAATATGAAATGTTAAAACTGAAGACTCATAGATGTATTAAATGTACTATACTCCTTAGAGAGTCTTAAATCCTTTAATTTCGATTTCGTTAATTAAAGGGTTAAATGTGAATTAGTTGTAACCATACTGATAGACGGCTAAAAACCTGAAGACCGTCTGGCGTCATAAAATAGTGAGGTGACATTTTGTCACCCCGTGGCCTTACCGACTGGGACTGTAGCTAGCAGTCGGGGTGTGGGAGTGCATGTCCCGTATAGATCTATACACACAATGTCCACTCTCCCTCCAGGAGACTCTGGTTACAAAGGTGATACAACAATGTATTTTTGTATCATGAAGTAGTATTTCACATTCTAGTTATCGTATTCTTACTATACTTGTATGTATATGTATGTGTATATGTATATGTTCATTCCTATTCTTGTATATGTATATGTTCTCTTCCATTCTTTGTATATGTAAATGTATATGTATATGTTCACTACCGTTCTGTGTATATGTAAATGTATATGTATATGTTCACTTTCGTTCTTTGTATATGTAAATGTATATGTATATGTTCACTTTCGTTGTTTGTATATGCTCGCTAAACTATACCTATTATAGTTTACTAGACATTTATATGATCTTGATTTGTAGACAAGGCTCAATTACTCAGCTTGAACAGTTGAGTTAAGTAAATCTTTTAAAGATAAAACTTTATATTCTATTACGTATTTAACATGTATAACTATGAGTTAATCGACAGTCAGACTAGTGTATCCTACCCTAAGCCCACAACCAAACAAGGAACAAGAAATAAGGTTATCCACAATAGTCCTAAGTCATTAAAGCATACTTATACACTAATACATAAAAGAATATGGTTTTGAAAGTAAAAGGATTTGACAAGAGTTTAAAATATTTTAGAAAGGGTTATATAAAGAAATCTAACAATGTTTGAAAACAGTTAGAAAATGGTTTGAAACAAGATGTTTAGGAAGTATATAAATGTTTATACTAACACAATTTCAATTGTGTTTACTTGTATCCCCCCCCCCCCCTTAAAAGCATTAAAAACAGTTTAAAAGGTTGATTGCAGGGGTATGAACTCACCTGTAGTGAGTTGTTTGTTTGTAAGATCGAGAAAGGATGTTGAGTGCTAAGTGAAATCTCGGGCACAAGCAGATCCTAATAAGCACGTAATAGTACATATATGTATAGAATTAGTGTTTATACAACTAATCATGATAGGGAATCACTTTAGGGACTAGGAAACACTTATTTTGGTGTGTTACAATCACATATGATTGCACATACGGGGTATGTAGCCTCACAATTGGAGTGTAAGGCCAGACTGCATCAGTTTTGTGTGTGTGCGGCCAGGGTTTGCGTCTGCACACTCCCTATGGAACACGATAATGTGTGTCTTAAGGTCTTGGGAATCAGCTAGGGAGTGTGTTTTGGCTATAACATAACTTAGAGGGGTGTTTGTTATCATTTTGGAACCTAAAAGGGTGTGTACGGCCACACAAAGGATGTATACGGCCGTACACCCTTGATGGTCTTGCAAAGATGGTCAAAAGTGTGTTTCAAGGCCATATCATGCATCCTCTAAGTGTTCTTGAACATGTTTTTGCATAGAATGTGAGTTTTGAGGCTAATATACACCAAACAAAGGGGTGTGCGGTCGTACACTCCTTGATATTCATGATTTTGGACGATTTCTAATGTCATATCTAGTAAGTATCAAGCATGGGAAGGAGTACTTACGATATAGAATCCATTAAGGGTGTTTGGGTACCAAGAACTTTGTAGGTGCTCTTGGTGAAACTAAAGAGCACTTGAAGATCTACCAAAATGGAGTGATTTCATGGATGAAATCAGTGATTCATACAAGATATGGGAAGAATCAACAGATCAAGGGAAGAATACTTACAATTTTAGAGATATAGGTGTAGAATTGGATGATAGTAGAGAGCATACACGAGTTCTTGGCTAAGGGAGGTGAAAAGGATTGAATGGAAGCTAAGTCCCCCATATATAGTCCAGAGTGTACAGGCAAAGGGGGGGTGTATGGCCGCACACCCAAGTATACGGTCGTACATTCCTCATAATGCAGTATATAGCCATTTTGTGAAGTGTTTGAACTTGCGGGACCCATTTCTACACTCAAACTTGAATGTACCAGGCTTAGAACACTCAAATTGACTCAAAATAGTGCTAGAAGATCGCAAAACGAGTCTGAATTTGATTGATTTGAATAATTGTACAAGGTAGAAAATTCAGGTTGTCACAGTAAATAACGCTTTCCTATCTAAATTCTTGTCACTGCATACCGAACGTCTGATTAATAGATCGACATGGTGGGAACTCCAAGCGGAATTGGAAATGTTAATGGAAATGTTATTGCTAATCAGCGGCCTGTGATTAAGCATGCACCAGAAGCAGCAGCTGCACCCGAGTCAATCACTATGGCAGGAGTATAAGAAATGATTCAAATGATGTTGGATCGTCATATGGAAGAGACAATGTGTGGTGTAGTGACTGGTGAGTGTAGTGGTAGGTGTGTATGGATAGCTTATGTTTGGTGGTGGGGATGGGGTTAGGCAAGGATGGGTGGGGCTAATGGACAGGACTCCCACATCCGTCTACCCAACTCATATTCTTTCAACATGTTTAGTGTTTCTAACCAACCTAAAAGTTAGACCTCGCAAAACCTTACATGACACGACAACTCGACACGAACCCGACACAAAATTAATGGGTTTGGATAAGAGATTTCAACACCATTAAATAAATAGGTTGACACAACACTTCACGAAAGTTAAATTGGTTAGGTTAGGATCAAGACTTACAACTCAAATATGACGCGTTTGATTATATATCATGCTTTATAAATTTAATATTTTTATAAATATATTATAAATTATAGATTTGTGATGAGCCAAAATAAAGAATTAAAATTCATATTCAAACTTTCGACTTAATTTTATTTTTCCTCACCAGTTATTCTTTTTGCTTCCCAACTCCAATTATTTTTATTTTGTCTTCTAAATTTATTGTGAATTTTATCGTTTCAGCCGCATCCACACTCTAGTGTTGCACTTTTTTCTTTTCTTCTCCATGATTCCTGCTTTTTAATTTTTAAAATGTTTCAATCCAACATAACACAACATATTTAAAAAGTCTAAACATTAACCCGACATCTCACAAAAAAAATCGGTTGACATGACACTACCTAATAATTAAACATGTCGGATTATGGTTAAGTCCTATCAACCTATTTAATGTTTTAATACGACACAACATGACAGGTTTGCCACATCTAGCCGAAATAATACAACATATTTTATAATGTATAAAGTCTAACCAACAACTTGAAAATAAATGAGTTACACAAAACAATAATTAAAGAGATCATATTAGAATCAAATTCTACAACCGATTTGAGGATATGAATCTAGTTATCTCATCAACACTTAAAAACAAGCAATCCTTCTCTCCAACAAGTTGTAGATATGCTTTATAAATATAAAATTAAAAATTAAAAACTAATATAATGTACTTTTTATGTCGATATAATTTGTCCTATTAAATTGGAAGTTGTCCCTAGCACGAAGCATCCCATGACCTTCTGAAGCAAAACGACAACTTTTCAATCCCCTACTCGACTCACACATACTGACACATACACACCTTCGCCGTACCCGGGAGGTAATAAAGCCGGCAGCTACCATAGCTGTATTCCAGTTGTCCTCCAATGGCTATTATATATATAATCCACAACCACACATTCAAGTATTCAACACACTATCACGCATCCAAAACCCCTTCTCGATCTTCTTCAATAATATCATCAATGGCGTCAAAGAATCAATCGGAGTTTCAGGATTTCTTACCTTTAATGGCGGATAAGTTAGGCGGCGAAGGTCTGATCGGAGAGTTATGCAACGGATTTCAGTTATTGATGGACGCCGATAAGGGTGTCATCACCTTCGACAGTCTGAAGAACAACTCTTCGCTTTTAGGTCTTGAAGATATGAGCGATGATGATCTGCGGAGTATGTTGAAGGAAGGCGATTTTGATGGAGATGGAGCGCTCAATCAGATGGAATTTTGTGTTCTGATGTTCAGATTAAGCCCTGATTTGATGGAGCAGTCCCAATTTTTGTTAGAAGAAGCTCTTGAACATGAATTCGATCAAATGTAATTTACTATCATCATCTTTTCCTTGATAAATGTACAAAATCAATAATTCTTCCATAATCGAAATTCTAGAATCATCTATTACAAATTGTTAACAAAATATGATACGATTATTCATACTATCGACCATCTAAAAGTGTAATGGTGACTTCGTTTACCGAAAACTGTGTAGCTGAACATTGAGCTTGAAGAATATTGTCTTCGGTGAAAAAACCAGGTTGTTTAGGTTCCGGCAACGAACCTTCTCCGGCCAACATTACAACCACCGATGACATATTTGGCCGGTCGCCGGGAGAGTGTTGGACGCATAGCAGACCTACCTGAATTGACCTCATCGCTTCTGAAACAGAGAATGATTCGAGTAATGCTTCATCGATTAGTTCCATGGATCGATCTTCTTTATACAGCCTCCATGCCTGAACAATTTCAATCGATCAGAACACATGAGATTTCGAAAACAAAGTTACAAAAATGGTCCCTGTACTTTCTGATTTTTACCATGTTAGGTCATAATTGAAACCTTTTCACTTTTGGTCCTTCTTTCAAGGTTCTATATCGATTTTAGTCGCTCTAACCTTGAAATATTGATAAAAATCTTGAAATATAGGAGCCAATTTCGTTAATTTCTTTATCATAGCATCATACTTTGAAAAAATGCATGAAAGTTTTAATAAGAAAAGAAATTGAACATACAATAATAGAAAAATGAAAGTAAGATATTAATATAAACAAATAAATCAAAGTATGTTGCTAATTCTTGTACTTACATGTCCAAGAAGATTATCACTGTGGTCCTGTTGAAAGAAGCCTCTGTTTTTCTTGCCACTCACGATTTCCAATAGTAAAACTCCAAAACTAAAAACATCTGATTTCACCGAGAAAAGCCCATGAACAGCATACTCGGGAGACATATAACCACTATAAAAAAAAATAATACAAAAGAGTAAAAAAAACATAGTACTTGTTATAATGTAATAATTGAAAACGGTATTAATTTTTTTAAACCATACTATGTTCCCACCACCATTCTTGTATTAGATCCCATCTCATTTCCACCAAATCTTCTCGCCAATCCAAAATCCGATATTTTAGGGTTCATATCAGAATCCAACAGGACATTACTAGCTTTTAAATCTCTATGAATAATCCTCAATCTTGAATCTTGATGAAGGTAAAGAAGTCCACGAGCAATCCCGTTAATAATGTGGTAACGTGTAGGCCAGTCTAGTAATTTCCTTCGTTTTTCATCTGAAAAATAATTAAAAAATTTTGTTTAGTGAAATTTCATAGATGATTATTTCATCAAAGGTTATTATTAGCATACCAAATATAATCGAGTCTAGACTATTGTTGGGCATGTATTCATATATCAACATCATTTCATCATCTTCCATGCAATATCCGATAAGTTTTACAAGATTTCTATGTTGGAGTTTTGCTATACAAATAACTTCGTTCTTGAATTCTTCTAAACCTTGTGTTGATGTTTTCGAGAGTCGCTTCACAGCCACTTCTTGCCCCTCATCTAAGATCCCCTGCAAGAAACTCTTTAGTTACAGTACAGACAGTAGACAGTAGACGGTAGAGATTCTCATTCTATATTCTAACCTTGTAAACGGGACCAAATCCACCTTCTCCAAGCTTACAACTCAACGAGAAGTTTTTTGTAGCTTTTATTACGCTTTGTAAAGCAAACAATTGTAACTCCATATCTTCATTTCGCGTCTCATTTATGTTTCTCAATCTCCCTAAAAATTTACAAAAATGGTTCTTTTAAAAAACGATTATTAACTAAAAACGCCTAATTAAACTAATTTACAAAAAATAAAAATAAAAAAAATTATACCTTCCATATTCATATGTGCTCTCTTTTTCTTCCTCAAATAACACACCATCAAGCTCATTACCATAATTAAAGTCCCAAAAACTAACGGCAATAAAACTTTAATCATCACTTTTTTCTTCTTATCATCAGATGATTTCAAAACTGTATGATCTTCCAAAACCCAAAACAACATTATCAAAACTCTGAAAAAATCAATCTCCATTTACAAAAAAATATAAAAAATTGTTAGTTTTATTATTTATAATTTACCCGAATCAGAAGAAGCCATCCTCACATATATATCTTGAACATTAACAGATAAATCTTTCATGTCAACTAAATCACCAAACCAAATCAAACACCCACTTCCTTCCAATATATTTAATCTCGCATACGCCATACATGAACAATTTTTTAAACATTTCATTTCACATTCTTCCAAATTCATGTTCTTATCAAACCAAGAAAACCGTGTATCTGGCAATTTAAGCCCAGAATATTTTCTAAACCCATCACTTTTACATTCCAAATCTTTTACCCTTACACACCCACTAGACCCATCGTTCACCTCCCATTCCTTTTGGTTTCTAGGGGTAAATTTGTCCAAACACTGACATAAAAGACTACAAGTACTATAAGCACCACATCTTGAATACTCATCACAATGATCAGCAGGAGCAGTAAAAAGAACTCTCCAACTTTTTGTTTGTTTCACAAATGATATCCGTTGTGCGATTCCACTAGGTGTGATTGAAAGCTTTGAGAATGTCGATGATTTGTTAACGATATTATAAGTATAGGAAACTTCATTCTCATTCACAATTAAGTCGATTTTGTAGCTTGCGTTAATTGCAGGTTTTGAAATTGGGATTCCACTAAACCCTAGACCATTCCATGAGCCTAATCTAAAAGAGATAACCGATTTCTTTCTCATGATTAATTGTGGGTACCCTGTGTGATCAAATCGGTATGTATAATCACCTGGTGATGGATCATCTGATGTTTTCCATGATGATAGATATGTCTCTAAACCTGTCTTGAAGTTTCTTCCGAGCTTCATGCCAGGTAGAAGAGTGTCGACAGGATGATCGAAGCTTTGCCAATGGAAATTTTCAGGATTGTTGTCGTTTTCGTCTCTTATAACGAGATTTCCTGAGTCTAATAGCTGTAAAACTGGATTCAATGCAGGTTTTTTCGATATACGTGAAGAAGAAGAAGAAGAAGAAGAAGACAGCCATATTGTGTTATTCGATTGAATGCTGTCTAGGATTATGAGATTATGATTACGAACGAGTTGAAGGACACCTGAATTTCTAGTGAGGGGAAATTGTCTGTTTGCAACCCAAACGACTGTGAGAACAGAAGCGTTTGTATACCATATGCCTACATACCGATTTGTAGAATTACCTGGACTGAAAAATCCCATTTTGAAGATTCCTTCACCTGAAGTTAATGTATCTCCGTCTGTGAGAGATTCAGCTACAGTCATGGTGTCGACTGCGTAAGACTTGCGAAGGTAGAAAATCACGAAACATAAGAGAAATCGCTCGATGATGCTTGACATTGATGTTTTAATGTTGATGGAGAAGTAGTTGTGTTTTGAACAACTCAGATTGGAGACGACGATATGGCAAACTAAAACATAGCTCGTTAGGAACAGAATTCCACCCACAATCTTTGACTTCGAAGCATGGTTTGTTGCTTTGTTTAATCGATGTGCAAGCAAATGATTCGGGATTCGGATGTGGATGGATTCGTCGTAGTTGGTAGATGTTTACCGATGTGAACAATTATTGAAATGAACCAATTGTTGACCGTTTTTGGAAGCTCGTAAATGACAAAGTATGGTGGGGTACATAAAGCATTCATGTTTCTACTCCTGTTACTGTCCACTTGACCGACTTTCACAACAAGATTTCTGTTGCGCATTTCATCGAACATGTATGGGGCGTCCCAAAGCACCCGTTTTCATACACCTGGTCAAATGAACAGGAAAAACCCTTTAAGAATTTTGCAAAAGGGGAGAGAGTTTGAAAAGCAATAACAGTAAATTGACATTGTCGACGACCTTTGATCGAGTGTCATTATCAATCTTGAGACAATAGAGATCGATTTGGATTAGAATTACCTACTTCCGCACCATAGAGCTTTTGCCGTGTAAAGTTGCCTACGTACATCACCATCTAAAATAACGTTTCCTAGTTGCATTGGGACCATGCTTTTGTAGCTACTCAAATTTATGGATTTACAGAGCCCTACATAGTTGACTGACAGTGACGAATTGTGAAACCAAGTATGGCTGCTTGAATTAAATCTAGTATGGGTTTATAGTTAATGAAAGAGTGTTTTGTTTCTGGTTATTTAGTATCCACTCTTAAAAGTCAAATGATATCTTCTTTTTCACACTTAATGTATCATGTACAACATGGCTTAACACGTCAATTTCTTTTATTTAAAAATAAAATTTTATTATAATAATAAGGACTATTTTTTTATGATATTTAATTTCTTTGGACACAAACATGTTAATCATACTACAAAGGCCCCCAAAAAATTGAAGGCCCCAATTTTTTTTTTAATCATGGGTAGTTGGTTGGATGCAAATCAATTATTTCTATCATGGAAAAAAAATAGCACACAAAAAAATTGAACTCCACATGTTTGTCAAATTGTTTTATGATATTTATGAGTTGATTTTTGTTTCATTAATTGTGTTAATCAACCCCGAAGTAATATCCTAACGTGTACTAAAAAATGGTCTTCCTTTTTTATAAGGGATAATGATTTAGGAGGGTAATAAGGTTTTCAGTTTGTTCGTATTAGGTCACTAAGGTTTTTTTTGTGCGTATTAGACCAATATGGTTGTTATTACCGTTTAAAAATAATCATTTTACCGGTTTTAACGGTTAAAAATGACTATTTCTAAACGGTAATAACAACCATATTGGTTTAATACGCACAAAAAAAACCTTAGTGACCTAATACGGACAAACTAGAAACCTTATTACCCTCCTAAGTCATTAACCCTAATTTTAAAGACATTGAGAATATATGACCATCAACAGTAAACTACTTCGTTTAGAACTCGCGTCGTCTCATATAACCTGCTACTCCTCTATATGGCGAAGCTCCTCATCTATAGTCGTTCCTTTGGGGACATCCGATAAAATTGGAATGATACAGAGAAGATTAGCATGACTCCTGTGCAAGGATGACACACACAAATCGAGAAATGGTCCAAAATATTTTTTAACCCTTCATCGTCTTCTTTGGAACCCTAATTCCCTTTTTAAATGCTAATGAAGTTCAATTGCAATTCTTACGTTTCAGTAGTTCATCTACTGAAGTCATGATCAGACAATATGTGGATTCTATGGTCAGATTGATCTTCTTGTTGATGTCTTCAACCATTTGTGGCAAGTAAGGGTGATCTTTCTTTCTATAAAGTCTCCTTTAAGTTTTTTACTTTTCCTGTCATTAAGTTTCATGCTTTATAAACTTTTGTTTATGTGTTGTATATAGTATGTATGTATTTGTTTATGGTGCTGATTTTTTTATTCATTTTGCAACTTCAGTTTCTTAGTTCATGTTGTGGTTTTGCTTTTTATAAAATAATTGATAATAGACATCCTATACAAGTCCCTGTTGGTTTTACATTTCCATTCGTTATCAAATGCAAACATTGATGGGAGGTATCAAAGTGAGATTTTGTTTTTGTACATATGAAGATGTTCATGTAAACATTTAAATGACAAAAAAGAAGTTATTGATAAAATATTGCATATTTATGTAATGAAGATCATCAATCATATGAGTTTCTGGACTTAGAAGTTCTGGAATGGTTGTGAGATAAGTTTAAATGGAAGCAACTATTTTCAGTCAAACAAATCATTCATATTGATTAGTAAGCATGTTTTCTAAATAATTAGGGTTAATGACTTAGGAGGGTAATAAGGTTTCCAGTTTGTTTGTATTAGGTCACTAAGGTTTTTTTGTGCGTATTAGACCAATATGGTTGTTATTATCGTTTAAAAATAGTCATTTTTACCCGTTAAAACCGGTAAAGGGACTATTTCTAAACGGTAATAACAACTATATTGGTCTAATACGCACAAAAAAAACCTTAGTGACCAAATACGGACAAGCTGGAAACCTTATTACCCTCCTAAGTCATTATCCCTTTTTATAATGGTTTCCTATGTTTTTAGGCCATAAACTAGGAAGTTAGGTTAAAGGTAAGCGAACTAAGAGGACTAGGAACTCACATTGTTAGCGAGAAAGGGCGAGAAAAGGTGAGTGTTCAGTAAGTCGTTAGAAATGGCTTGTTGACCTATTGAGAAAGTGGAACAAAGTGATTCTCATTAGAGAAGCACGAGTGGAACGACTTTAGCGTGATGCTTGAAAGGTTGCTTTACTAAGTAATATAATGTTAGCATTTTAGTTTGTTTGATTGCTCGTTAGTTTCATTTTCAATTAGGGACGAGAAGAAATGAGCCTAGAATAGCAACGCAACCTCTAACTATTACAGGCCCCTTTTTTTTTATTCTATTAGCAAAGCGCTAGCATCCTTATAGAGTCAGAATATTCTACTATCAATGAAATCAAAAGAAAACAACTAATGCCTTTTCATATAGATTGAGACATGTATCTTGATTATTTACTCATTCCATACTAGGAGGAATTGCATGCAATAACACTGAGTCATATTTATTTTCAAATGATACATGACATTCAAGACAATTCCCATGAAAGTCTTTCATAGAAGTGAATGCTTCTTCTTACGAAGCAGATTTCCAAAAACTCAACTTGAATCAATCGATCAACTTTTTGAGTGTTTGACAGATATAGAAAATTTAACAATTTACCATGTAAAGTAATCAGAAAGAGGTGGTTGACTTTTCAAAATGCAACAATAACACTTGCTTTAGAGTTGTGAATACTAAAGTCTATTCATCTGTGTATTGAAAACACAACCAAATAATGTCTTTAATTGCCATCCTAAACACCTCTAGATCATTTTTTTTTTCTTTTGTGCATCCATAGAACCAACACTTTTTTTTAATTTCTCCATAAATTAGCAACATGACCTGCATTTCTAATTGATCGATAAACCCTTATAACACAAATACAATCATCAAAATCAAACCACCCCGTGATATCATCCGACCCCGTGAAACAAACATGATGATTTTTTTCTTGCAACTTCAAATTATTTATACAATTTGTTCTTGTAAGCCCATGTTCAAAACCATCGTTCATATGTCTCGATCAAATCTCATAAAATACCATTTAAAATCATATTTCTTAACTAGATGATAGAATCCAGAAAATAGTTGATCCAAATTGTAACCTACTAAACCATGTGATTAATTTGCATGAGAAATAGGCTTAGTTGAATTAGTCTTTTCCTTATTTCTAGTAGTGGCTAGATAATAGCTCACGTAATGCATGCATAAGGTCTTTGACCATTTCCTTTCCTAGCTATTAGTTACTTTTTCTTAGCTTTATTTAAACAGATGTAATTCCCTTTTGGTCGCATGAATGAAAAAATAGAGAAAATTGTTTCAAGGTTCTGCCTCTTCTTCTTTTTGTTTCTTAGGAGTGTGACCTACTCTAACAGGTCTCTTATAATATGGTGCTTTCATATTCATCTCTATGCCTCCCAAAACTGAGTTTGGCTCCACCTCCGACACCACCAAGGCCACATCCGATCATCCCAATGTCACCCTCCATGATCAGTTACAGATTCTGATTCATCTCTCCACCGCCTCGACACCATCACCACTCATCTCGCAACCCAAGCCACTAATATTGCCAAACAAACGGACACCATGATTAACCTTGTCCAACTCCTTCCCGCCAACAACATCAACGTACCACCACCGCAAACCAACCTCCGGCCACCAAAAATTCACCTCCCAACCTTTAATGGATCCAACCCCCTCAACTGGTTTTTTCAAGACGAAAACTACTTCACGTATTACTTAGTTCCACCAACCCAACGCCTCACTTTAGCATAATTTTACTTCACCGGGGACGCCTTGAGTTGGTATAAATACCTTGCCAACAACCAACTTCTAGCTACATGGCTAGAATTTTCACGGGCTCTCGAACTCAGGTTCGGTCCGTCAAATTATGAAAACCACCAAGCCTCTCTATTTAAACTCAAACAAGCAACCAATGTCACCGCCTACCAAGCTGCCTTCGAGAAGTTGTGTAACCAGGTCACCGGGCTCTCTAATGAAGCCCTCCTTAACTATTATCTCTCAGGCCTTACACAAGACATCCAAAGGGAATTAGTTGTGCTCCAACCTACTACCCTACATCAATGGTATGGGTTATCTAAATTAATTAAAGACAAACTTGGGTACTCCCCAGTTTCTCCAACCGATCCCACACCATTGTCCTCAATCGTCCAATCGCTAGCCTATTCCCCCACAGCACTACACAACCTCCCTCTGCTACTGGCTCCAGTAACCTCAACCACCATATTACCTACTGCATGCTTTTCACCTGAGCAACTCCAACAACACCATGCCTCGGATCTTTGGTTTTGTTGCCCCACCAAGCACCACCCCGGCCACAAATGCGATCTGCCACAGTTCTTGCTAACGCCGACAATAACCTGGACGCTTCCCACCCTCCTGTACAACAACATATTAATGTTATCGAGGAGGCCCCCAACATTCCACACTTTCTGGCTCTATCCCCATCAACATTTTATGGTATTGTGCCTACTACTGCCTTACGTCTCACGGGATTCGTCAACCACACACCACTTTAAATCCTCGTTGATTCCGGCAGCACTCACAACCTGATTCAGCCCCGCATAGTTGTTGAATTACAACTTCTGATCTACACTGCATCAACCTTCCCAGTCCTCATCGACAATGGCAAACCACTACTTTGCAACGGTTATTGCCCAGACGTTCCCCTTAAGCTCAACGAGGTTTATTTTAAGGTTCAGTTGTTTGTTTTTCCATTCAAAGGCTTTGATGTTATTCTCGGGTTCGATTGGTTACAATCCTTAGGTCCGATTACAACCTACTTTTCAGTTCCTTCAATCACTTTTTAGTAGGGCAACAACACCATCACCTTGCAGGGGTCACGTTCGTTTTCGGTCAAGTCCGGGCCAATTGCAATAATGACCTCAGACGACAAGGCCGAGTCCATGGGCAGGGTATTGATACAATCTGTCACACCCCAAAACCACGAACGGCGGAAACGTTCTGGGGCGGAGGACGTCATGTATGCATCACAACAAATGTAAAGTAGTAAACAAGCAACAACATCATATATTGCATCAATAGTATA